GGGTGTGACTTATGGGGGCGGGACGTGGCTCTGGGGGCAGCGTGTGTCTGTGGGGGCAGGGTGTGATTTATGGGGGTGGGACGTGGCTCTGGGGGCAGCATGTGTCTATGGGGGCAGGGTGTGACTTATGGGGGCGGGACGTGGCTCTGGGGGCAGCGTGTGTCTATGGGAACAGGGTGTGACTTATGGGGGCAGGATGTGGCTCTGGGGGCAGCGTGTGTCTATGGGAACAGGGTGTGACTTATGGGGGCGACACGTGGCTCTGGGGGCAGCGTGTGTCTATGGGGGCAGGGTATGACATGGGGGGCAGCGTGCGGCTGGGGAGGCATGAAAAGAATTTCCCCCTGGGGATCAATAAAAATTATGAATTGTTAGCTTCCAATCAACAATCTCAGCAACCTGGCCCAAGCAGATCATGCCTTGTCTCACCTGAATACTAGAGACACCTGCAATGCTTTTCTTAATCTAAGGAAGATAATATGGGATCTACCTGAACTAGAACCATGGTGAGATACTGAGTTTGCTCCTTGTTGAACCATATTTGCCTTTCTGATTGATGACACCTGGTTTGCCAAATCTTGCCTGTCTGGGGACTCTGCTTACGGACAGTGATAAGGATTTCGGATGCGTATTACTCTGAAATGCCTGCTCAACTCCGACTGCCCCTTGATATTTCTCTCTTTGGTAAATCTTCACTTTTATGGATGTTACTAGGTCGTATTTGCAGGCACTTGCATTACAATCGGAGAATCAGATTTAATTCCAACCCTATGCAATTATTTTACCCTGTCTGTAAGAAAAAAATATATAAAGATCAGGTTCTAATTTTAAAATAGCACACTTTGACAGGTCATCAGATTCTTATTCCTGTCAACTTGTCTGAATGTTTTTTATCACGTTTAAAGCTGATTTCGCACTGTCACACATACACCATGTCATTATTGCCTGTCCCTATGTCAACAAAAAAAACAGATCCCCAGAGTCATCCCTAGCCTCCCAGAGTAAAAATGCATACAGCTGTTGGAGAGAGTTAGGCTGGAGGACAGCGCCACATGACAGAGGGAATGCAGAGTAGCAGATCCAGTTTTATGATTCTTTCTCTTTTCAGAGCAGGGGCTTGGATTATACAGCTACACATACATGAAGAATTCAAAACAAATAGTAACACTTTACTTAAGGCAATGTTTTCAGTAATTGATAAAAACATCCATGATGTATAACACATTCATAAATCATTATAAAAATGGCTATAAATACTTATGAAAAGCCATAACACATTATAGCCATGTGTATTATGAATTATGAGTGCCTTATGAAGCTCTCATCTATAATGCAGTATAGAAACATTTATAATGCAGTACAGCGCATCCTTCATTCATATATCGCCATTAGTCAAGTCAAGTAAGTCAGGGTGGTTATACCTGTGCCACCATTATAATGCATCATAAAGGTATATATCATGCATTATAGATGAGAGCTTCATAAAGCATTCATAATGCACAATACTCATGGCTACAATGTGTTATGCCTCTTGATAAATATGTATAGGCATGTTTATAATGCTTTATGAATGGATTATCATTTGTTATGAATGTGTTCGTAATTTACTAAAATCATGGCTTTAAGTAAAGTGTTACCAAACAAACTACAAAATGCCTATTTCAGTATGTAAGGAATAAAACAGCTTGGCATAGGGGCTACCCGGCTTGCCACACTTCAGGTTCAGGCTTACTGCAGGTGAAGGTGACAAATGTGTTGATCTTCATTCTTTAAAACAGCTGACTAGCTCCAAGATAATGACTGAAGTATATCTGGCTGTAGGATATCAGATCCACTTTACAATAAGGCTACCCTTATAAAGGTTTTATGAATGGCTTATAATCAAGGTGTCAATTAGGTCATAGCACTTTGCAAATCATTAATAGATTATTATAAACAAGTTATAATATTTTTTATTGATAAGTTGCTACTATTTATAAGAAGAAAAAGGAAGACTTACCTTAAAGTTGTACTAGTATATTTATTGGCTGTACGAACTGGGAGCTGGAATGCAGAAGACAGCAAAGCATTATATTTGGTGAGAAGTGTAACTCTGTTCACCATAAATAATGGAATTTTACCGTTTGCCTTGACTTCTGATGGCATTGTCTTAATTTATCCTGCATGTGAGGAAGCCACCTATGGGAGGTCATATCTCCAGAGTTTGTTTTCACCCGGTAAGAGTCCTCTTATCACCATGTTAAAGGTTCCCGCAGAGAGCACTAATGACTTCATTGCTTTTCCCAGGAGCTGCTGCGGCGTTTCCTCATTCAGCGTCACATCATCGTTAGGAAGCCGTGAGATAGTCTTGTTTTCTTGGCCGAGAGCTTTTACACAACATGAGTGTCCCTGAAGTGTCAGGCAGAGCTTGAGAAATTTAAGGAATGAAGCGAAAATAGAAATGCATCAAACATGCAAACTTCTTCCTTAAAACTGCATGTCAAATACAGAGCTGAAAAATCAAACATTATGTTAGAAATGTACATCCTTGTGTGTGTGTGTGTGTGTGTGTGTGTATATATGTGTGTGTATATATATGTATTACATACATACATAGATACACACACACACACACACACACATAAATTATTTGAGTAATTTGATTTTCTCCTTTTTAGCTGTGAGGTACATTTATGCTTTAGATGTTATTCTAGTCATTGCAATTTATTATTTTTTCTTTTTTGTCCAAAGCAATTATTTTTAACTGCAGCACTGTTAGACAATACAAGGTACCAGCCCAGAGGCACCAGTTACGCACATTGTCTCATCAATATCTGCTACAGAAATACGGCCAGCTCAGAATTCCACAGTGGGTGTACAGTTTCATTGTCAGGAGGATTTTTTTTTATTATTATTATTGATGTCAGAGTAGAATATGCCCTTTGTCTGTTTTAGTTTCTGCTATTTTTATTGTCACAATATACGACTACCAGTGTTTTATTAAATACATTCTCTGAAAGTTGTAAAAGGCATTGTTTATACTTTTAAGGGCATTCTGTGTTCTGTGTTCTAGGAATGGTCCTGTTGTGGGACCCTCGACCAAGGTATTTAACCAGAATAAAATATGCAGTTAAATAAGTGGTTCGTTAAGCATCTGCACCTGAACGCGCTCAGCTCTGCAGCATTACCTCCTTCTTAAATAGAAAGCTGGGGGTGAGGATTTGTGTGTCATAGATACACAAAGCTGTGAAATATACACCTTTCGCCTCACATGTTTCTACCTCAGCAGCTTTTCAGCTGGAAATGTCACTGCAGCCAAGAGGATGGTGTGCTTGCATTGCCTCCCAAGTGACGTTAAGACTCCCCGATACTCATTCCCCGTCTCTCCTGCAGACAGCCACAGTGACACAGACATCCCCTTCCAGCCTGGATAGCGCTGTGAAATGTGGTACCTTAGAAGACCTTAGAAGGTCCCGTACGCTGCAGATCAGGTCAAAAGTCGAATGAATTTTGCTCCTTGGCAAAATTAAAGCTGCATTTCCATGTATGTGAAATGTGTGTGTGTGTGTGTGTGTGTGTGTGTGTGTTGGAGGGGGGGGGGGGGGGGGGGCATGTGATTTAGGGAGCTTCGGAACACACTGGAATTTTATTAGGGTATTGCCTTGTCTAGCTGGGAGGTGGGTGAGCAGACCATGTGACTTAGGGAGCTTCAGAAAACACCAGAATTTTATTAGGGTATTGTCTTGTCTAGTTGGATATTTTAGAAAATGGGGTAACAGTGACTGTGATGGGCTGGCCCCCCATCCAGGGTTGTTCCCTGCCTCGTGCCCGTTGCTTCCGGGATAGGCTCCGGACCCCCCACGATCCAGTAGGATAAGCGGGTTGGACAATGGATGGATGGATGGGTAACAGTGACTCTTCTTATTGAACATAGCTTATGTTAAATTTGTATCTTGGGAATGAACACGTTGGACAGATGCATTTGCATAATTAATCATGCCAGTTTACAAAGGGTGGTAAGTTCTAACAGAACATGTGACAATTTCCAGTTGAAAACTACAGAATATATAAAGAAACAAGAAAGTAGTAACTTCTGTTATTGCTAGCAAGGTACAGTATGCAATGTGAGCAACATGATCTGTGTCTGTAATACAGAAATGTGTTCCCACCAGAAGACGACTTCTTATAAATTATGATTGTCTAATTCAATGAATAGATTAGCATGTACTCATGTTAAGGCAGAGACATGTTGGAACTCTCCACCTTTAAAACCAGCGAATGCAACTCACACAAAAAGACAAAACTAGACATGAGAAACCTCTGACTGCTTTTTGGTGAGATAAGACAGGACAACGAGAGACCTGCCCAATGCTGCAGCATAATGAGCAGAAACGTAAGGAGAAACAAATGGGTTTGATCTACTTTACTGTTAAATTTCCCTGTCCTTTTGCTAGAGCATTACTCGCTGTGCCTTATTTACGGTGATGCCATGACACTCTTCAGATACAAATGCACTTATTTTATAAACCTTATCCTGTGGTCCAAAAATTCCAAACTTATTTAGGTTGTTTACTGCATTCCATTGCATATTTCACATCATGATGCATTTGTGTGTTACAGGGCCTGTTTATAACTACTGGCTGGAAATAGACACACAGAACTCCGATCCCAGCTCCCACTCATGTAGTTCCCTGTCTCCTCAGTCCAGGAGAAAGCAGCTCATCCACATTACTCTGTGACATTAACAATTTATTTCAACCTTTTAACAGTCTTACAAAGGAGTCTTTTCCCCTGCCTGAGAATGTTAGGCTAGCACATTTAAATTTTCTGCCATCATTTTGGTGAATTTTATTTGCACTAATGCATCTGTCGTGTCTCACATTTTTGAATTTTTTTCCGAAGCAAGATTTTCTCAACAAGACTGAAAAGGTCCATAGCTGGGAGCTAAATGATAATTCAGGTGGTGACCTGCCAGTAGACACTTGGTGTGTAAAAAAACAGGTTTAGGTTCCAAGAACACATTTCTGATCATTTGGTTTTAAAGATTTCCACTAACCAAAAAGAGCTTCCGGCTTTCCCAAAAATTTCTTGATTGACTACACCCCCATGTTAAGCAATTAGAAGTTGAATGTAATTTTATGCCTTTTTTAAACGCATGAAATGTTGTTCTTTAGCACAGAAGTAATTGTGGATTCTGCCATGTTTGTCCTGGGCAACAAGAATGACCCAGTAATGTTCCTGGCAAAGATAAGGCATTTAACAAGGTCTGCACTATAAATTCAACTCCTTTGTCTAAACCAGGTCACTAAAATGGATTTTGTTCCAGTCTTCCATTCTGACAATGGTTAGATGTGCATTGTACATGCACTGTGTAGTGTACTATGTATAACTTTCTCAGTGTAAGGCCTGAAGAATGTTCATGTAGAGATTAAAGTCCAGTGCTATGAATTAGCAGCTATTAAGGAAGGTGCCATCTTTTGGGATCTAAAGTCTAAACCCTTAAACGTCTTAGTGTCAGTCTTGCAGTCCTTGGACCATATGCTGTTGACTTAAGCCATCTGCAATCTTACTGTACGATTTTCTGATGAATAATAACTAAAATCAGCATAAATTAAGAGGAATTTCTTAAACTTTACATAATTTCTATCAGAATGGTGGCACAGAAGCACCTACTTGTATTTCTAATAAAATTTAAATGCTGCTTTATATTCCATTTTCACAAGAACAGGTACATTGAAATGCGTATTTTCACATATCCCATCATGCTCTCCTACGCACATATCCCATCATGCTCTCCTACACACATATCCCATCAAGCTCTTTTCACATATCCCATCATGCTCTCCTTTGCACATATCCCATCATGCTCTCCTTTTGAGACATACAAGGGAGAGTGAAACTTGGGGTCCAGGCACAGGGTCAGCTGTTTTTCCAGTGTCCCTGGAGCAATTGAAGGTCAAGGGCCCAGTTTTGTGGGTCCCCTGATTCAAACCAGCGACCTTCTGATGATGGGCACAGAGCGCTGGCCTGCAGAGCAGCTCTCCTCCCCCTCTTATCCTGAGCAGAACTTAAGGCCAAACATAAACACACCCTGCTGTTATATATTATCAATCCTTTTGTTGTGTCCCTGGCTTTTTAGTGTGTTAAAAAACATGTCATTTCTTCAGTATGTTGTCTTCACTTTCCTTGCAATATCTGTGTTTCAGCTTGTCTTGATGATAATGGAGGCCACCATGTTACCTACATCCCAATGTGTGATTCCCAGTGATCCCCCTCACAATGTAGACCTCCCCCACCTAGCCTGTCACTTGCACGTTAGCTGTGAAACAGACCTTATGTTGCTAATTTATACTCCCCAAGTATTTCACTCTGTCAACATGCAAATAAGTTTACAGTTTTGTTTCTGATCGAAGATGGTGCTCATGCAGTAGTTCACTAATGGCTTTGCCAGGTTTCAGTTATGCTATATTCTCCCATTTTGCTACAGAATACATGCCTGTGCCCTGAGAAGGTTTGGAGTTTTGCCATTTTTTCCCAAACCTTTTGACTCCTAAAAACTCCTGACAACTTTGGGTGTTCTGCAAGCACTGACTAGTGATGTGATTTGCTGCTCATGGCTCAAAGTGCCCTTTTATTCCTACAATTAACGTGGATCTATAGTGAGAGAACTGGAATTCCATTACTAGTGAATGACTTTTGTTTTTCTGCCAGCTAACAGCCATGACACTACTCCTTGACCCGCGGACGGCTTTTCTCTAGCGGATCCAGTGCTTCACACTAAATCCGTGGTGTTTTTCTTAAATTATCTGGACGGTGTTCAAGATTGTCATGTCTGTGTGCTTCACTGTGTGAAATGAGTTCCAGCAGCATGTGACCAGCTTGATAATGATGGAAACCAAGCCCCATGGCTTAAATATAAGTAATTCTGAGAATGTGTGTATGATGGATTGATAAGGGTATAAAGAGTATCATTCGGCCCAGAATTAACACCTGTTCATTTCTGTGCGGTTTTATTTATCAGTCTAAGAAACTGTAACATTTTGATTATGTGGACATGATTCATTAGAATATCTATGTAATAAACTTATTTAAACATATAAAAGTGTGGCAGAGTGACCTCGCTCCTGCAGGGCTGTGGGTTCACTTCCCAATCCTGGCGCTATCTGCGTGGAGATCACATGTTTGAGGTCCATCTCTGGGTTTCTTCCACATTCTCTCTTCCCATTGTCTTCCCAAGACATCTGGTCCAATTACACTGAATTGCCCGTTTTACTTTGTTTTGTTTACATGCCCTGTGCTTCCTGCAACAGGCCCCAACCACACTGACACCATATAATTGGTTATGGAAAGTGGATGAATGGATATATAAATTAGAAAATTACTGTGATCTTTAACTTTATCGGTCATCACTATTTATTGTTCATAAAATTCCTAAACCGACCAGCATTCCTTTCAAAGGTCTTTCCGAGAATATAATTTTCCCAGTCGGAACACAGCCTCACAAACAGATGGTTTGACAGCTGAAAAATAGACGATTAAGAAGAACCGGAACAGAAACATAATTGCTTGTTATAATTAAGAGACATGCAGAAAATGATGGATAGTGAAATCACAATTTCTGAGGTACTTTGTCATGCACTAAACTCTCAGCCACTTAATTCAGCTGTTTTTTACACTTGCACAGTGTGTCCAGTGAGTTTGCTTTCGTCTGCTTGCCCACTGCCACAGTCAGTGAGATGCCAGTATCGATGTATAGCAGACAGGAGCTGATATCCAGCTTGACCTAAGCACTGATTTCATGGCTTGATGGACAGGAGAATCTGAATTCTGTTAACTCTCTAAATGGGTTATGGGTATAAGAACATTTAATTCTGGGTCTGAGTGTAGAATATGTAGGAGACTAGTGCTGGAATGAGGTTTCACAATGCTTTGCTTTTTTTTTTTTTGCTTTTTTTAAGCAAAATTTCATTTAGACTTCTAATTACATTTTTGTCAATTTATTGACTTGCCAGGATCTTTTATTCAGAGCAATGTACATGGCTACTGCAGTGAAAATACAATACAGTACATGATTCCTGCTTTCCTAAATGGACTCATTCCTGTGAATATGTTTCTCAAGTAGTGCCATTCCAGTGATGTACAGTTCTGGACAAATTCATTCCTGTTCCATTCCCAGTGTTAAGATTCAAATACACGTGTCTCCGTGGAATGTACAGTAGTTATCACTAATGGCAGCTAAATATTTAAGCAGCAAGGAGCCCTGAAAGGACGCGCCTTAGCTCTGCCTGTGTTTATGTTGGCAGCTGCTTTCCGAGAGCCAGATCAACATGGTGAAGGTGGTGAATTCTGTGAGCGACGCTCTCAGCTCCATGCAGAAGGAGACGGGCGTCATCAAGACGCGGCTGAAGGCGGATCTGCAGAGGGCCCCAGTGCGTGGAGCCCGCCTCAAAGGCTGTGCCAATGGTAAGAGGCTCGCCATCAAAAGGTCTCCAACTGCAAACATGGGCTGGGCAGACTGGTCACCATAGGGCCCTTGAACGAGGCCTATAAGCCCGTCTGCTACGGGGGCTGGCTGCCCTTTTTGTCCTGATTATACATCACGCTGAATAAAGGCGTCTGCTACATAAATAAATGTAGATGCAAGCTTGTCCATAAACAGTATCATCGCTTTGTGTAACACTTCATTGTGCATCTTGTCACTCTTTAAATGTAGGGAGATTAACTCCAGTATGAATGTTTAAATGCAGCACACTGCCTAGACATAAATAGGAAGATTAAATTATGTTTATCACTATTTTTTTTTATTAATAACTTGAATTAGAAATTAAGTTCAATCTCTTTTGAGAGCACTCTATATAAATAGTTAATAAATGCATGTAAAATACATCCACACTTAACTCTGAAGATGCATGATGTAAGTCTTTATAGTGAAAGAATCAGTAACCAGAATCAGTTCTTAGCTTTGCAGTTGACACCTGACTTTAATTTGGCTAGTAAAAATACACAGAAACACCGTCACAGTCATTAATTTTTCAGGTAGCAGTCAGGCAGCCACGCATGTTGTCGATCAGAGTTTATCAAGGTCTTCGCATCAATGATCTCATCTCTGGTGGTGACCCATATGATATAGCGGCTTCTTTAATGTGACAGGAAAGATTTGGGGAAATGCTACAGTTGTATCCCATGTGGGCTGAAAAACATCGCAACTGAGCACAATATGAACCGATGTGTGAACCAGCCAGAGTCACTCATAAATATTTTATTGAAAAATGCCGTGGACTATCTGTTTCGCTTTTAATCTGTGGCTAGGCGTGCGTGTCGAGTGTCAGCCTACTGACCTACGACAGCATACGTATGGTATAGGCATTGACACAGAAATTAAGTGGTGCTGTCTTTTTAAATTATCTTCTAGAACACTTAATGAAAACATTGAACTGACATGAGGTGTGGGGTGTAGCTAGGCTGGAATGGTACAGTGATAAATTCAGGCAGGCAGTTATTTATGGTGGTCTGCAGTTGCCTTTGGGATTAATGAAGTATCCATCTGTCTGCCTTTCTGTCTATCTGTCCGTCTGTCTATTTTATTTAACACATAATTTTGAACACACGGTTCCTGCTGTCAGTACTGTCACGATAATGAAGCCGTGATTTAAACTACAGCTACCAGTCAGTGAGCTTTTCCTGCACATCATTCTGCCACAGACCTTCCGATTACTGGTGATCTCTGGTATCTCCACCGTAGTTCTGATAATTTATCTTCTCAAAATTGGGAAATAATTCACTCAGCGCCAAAAAACCCTCACCACCTTAACAATTAGCAGAATAGCACTAAATATTTTGTTAGGAAAATCATGTTCCCCACAAGTTATATCATGTGAGACAATAAAATGTCTGTTGTTAAATTTGACTTTATAGCTTACAGAGGCAGCCTAATTTATTTGGTTTGGTGCATAAGTGAACTTCGAAATGAGTTATAATTATATCTGCAAAATAAAGGAGGGCTTTCTGTCACAGATTGCTAACTTAAAAAATCCAACTGATGCAAATTCATCAGTTTATGTCACGCTAGAGGACAACAGTAGTATGAATACCACACCTAGACCCAAGTGAGTATGCACAGCGTTCTTAATCTGCCATCAGCAGCTATTATCCTGCAATAGTCATTTCAGGGGGTAAGCTGGCAGCTTTCTGGGGCAGTTGTGTTAAAGGGATTGTTATTGAGAGGGAGGTAACATAGTGGTATCAAAGGGATTGTTATTGAGAGGGAGGTAACATAGTGGCAGCGAAAGAGAAAGGAAGGACGGATAGCGGCAGAATTCTATGGGGATCAGCCCTGAAGTGTTTAAAAGAACATCTACATTTAAATCTATAATCGGAGTGCCCAGTGATCTGTGTCTCAGATCTTGCAGTAACCTGCTGAACACATTATCAGCAAATCAATAGGGAAAGAGCTTTGGTCTCTTGGCCTCTAACTGTCTAAACTGTACCTGTGTTAGATATACATCTCCTATAAATAAAGTAATAAAGTATAAAGGTGCAGTTCTTCCATGGGATCCATTTATCTTACAAGAGAGAGAGATGAATATTTTTATTACCAGTCCCGACTGACACACTGCCAGAAGCAGAAGTTTTGTAGAAGCCAAATTTTATAACAGTAATTTCAGTAACTGCCAAAAGACATAATTTATCAGAACTATTCCAAAAATTAAGAATGTACAGTACTGTGCAAAAAGTCTTAGGCCACCAAATGAAGTAATGTTTAAATTTTCTTAATGTTTGTGTAATACAACCATTTTATGTCTGTCAAGGTGTGTCAGCTTAGGCAAAACCTCTGTAATGTTACTCCAATACGCCCAAATATTTACAAAACTTGACCACAAGCAGACATTGTTTGGCTATTCAATACCTTACGATGTTAATTAAGCAAACTGCTGGTGAAACGTATCAAACACATGGAATGGTTGAGGTGCACCTGTCGAGAGGTATGGTCAGTAACTTTTTGAAGAACAGAATAAATACTTGTTTTTGTTACATACAATTAGCTACTTTTTTAGCACTACATAATTTTAAAGTATATAATACTGGTAAAAACAAACATTTACGTCAACCAAATCATTACAAAAAACATAAAGACAGTGTAGTTTTCTTCTCCCATTGTTCTCTGAATGATACTGTAGTAAGATGCAGATATTGTTGCATCCTGTAGAACATTTAAATTCCTAATTTTTATGAGTTTGTGACACCCCAGGGACACAGCTAATTTCATTCTGCCCCTCTTAGGCTCCAGGCCCCGAGACTGCAGTGATATCTACGCGAGCGGACAGAGAGAGGATGGCATTTACTCGGTGTTTCCCACACATTTACCCTCTGGCTTCCAGGTCTACTGTGACATGACCACAGCCGGGGGAGGCTGGACGGTGAGTTTGTGAGTTCTACTCACACACGCTCAGACTTATGTCCTTCCTACTCACACACGCTCAGACTTATGTCCTTCCTACTCACACACGCTCAGACTTATGTCCATCCTACTCAGACATGCTCAGACTTATGTCCTCCCTACTCACACACGCTTAGACTTATGTCCATCTTACTCACACACACTCAAATTTATGTCCATCCTACTCACACATGCTCAGACTTATGTCTTTCCTACTCAAACACGCTCAGACTTATGTCCTTCCTACTCACACACGCTCAGACTTATGTCCTTCCTAGTCACACACGCTGACTTATATCCATCCTACTCACACACGCTCAGACTTATGTCCGTCCCACTCACACACGCTCAGACTTATGTCCTTCCTGCTCACACACGTTCGGAATTACGTCCTTTTTATGGAAGTACACATCCTGACAGATATACTCACAGACACACACAGGATGGCATGCAAAGATGCATTTACAGATACATTATCCTGTATTTATTAATAAGACAGCTGATTCTCAACAAATCGACCATGACCATATATAATTATACCATGATTAAACATTACTGCATAACTGATACAGTGTTGGAGTTTGAGTATATTATGTAACTTACTTGTGGATGCAAATGAGGATCTTCCCTTTCAGATTCTCACATTGTATGTGAAAGAGATTTCACTACAGTAAACATGGTAGATAGCATGCTGATGAACATTCCCTTTATACACCAATTGGCTGCTTGTAATTCCTTCAGTCATCTCTCCCCGCAGCCGTGCCAAAGTGGACCATGACCCTGGACCTCACCTGAACTGTAGACATGCTGAATGCACACTCATTGATGATAGATTAACCTATGGCAGATATAAGGTCTTTCTCCAAATGTGGCTCTTTGTGAGACAGTGCTGAAATCCTGACTTTCTATGCTTCTCATTTACTTCTACTGGTTTCAGTACTTGCTGTTTCCTGACCCTGTTTGCTGCATGTGATTCAGAATTGGTGTTTGCATTGCCCTGGATTACTTTCTGAATTTAGCCTGTCTTTTGACCCTGATTTGCTGCTTGTCATTCCTCTATATGAATCATTAAATATGCCTGTTCTGCTCCTGGATGTTGGAATTCCTTCATCATACTATTCTTGGATGCATATATGCCATATGCAATGTCTGGAAAAATGTATTAAGATTATGAAAAATCTTGTGATGCTTTAGAGACTACTGCTGTTTTCTTAAGTAACTTGATTTGTGGAATTAAAAAGTTAATTTTGTGCTGCCAGGCTGTTGCTATTTTTAGTGCATGTGTCTGTTTATTTTCAGTGTTATTGGTGAGTTTCGGTCAGCATTAATTAAGTAAACAACATCCCCTGTGTTTAGCAGTTTTAAATATAGACTTTACACACAGGGACGGTTTAAGTCGACTGTGAAAGTAGGTTAGATACAGCATGTTGTGGATATGTGATGGTAATGCTGTTTAAGTTGTCTTTGTGTTGATCGACTTAGTTATATTTCCTGCTATGAGGAAGCGTAATGGTACAGAATTAGTCTACACATCTGCATCTCCCCCACCAATTACAACAGCTCTTTTATTCTTAATGAGAATAAGTGGATAAAATTGTAATCTGATTGAATTCACGTAACTGGAGAACAGAACTGGTCCCAGTCGATGTTGCTCCGTAGGAGGACATCACCGCCTCCCCCCTCCTTGTCCGAGGCAAAGTGCAATTAAAACTAGGTGCCCTAGGGTCATTCAAATCATAGTCCTCAAGGTTCGTGCGTTGCTGATTTTCCAGCCTTCCTTTATTCGTGAGTGAGGTGGGAAGCCTTTGTGGCCAATCAGAATCAGAAAGTATTAAACTAACTACCGGGGAGAACTGAAAACACAGCCTGGATTGGAAATAGATGTCCAGACTTGAAGAGCCCTGACCTATAGGGTTGACTGGCCCTGCTGGAGAAGATCTGAGAACAATCTTGTTTAGTGGCAGGTGCAAGACAGGGAACAACCCAGGGCAGACATGCACACAATTTGGTAACTGCAGTTAGACAGATTTGGTCTTTGACTTGAGAGATCCTGAGGAGAACATGCAAACTCCAGACACACTGAGCTGGGGCAGAGACTCAAACTTCAGAGGTGCAAGGCCTCAGCACTCAGCACCACGACACCCCTACTTACCGTGTTAATTTTATAAATCAATTATTTAGGTTTCAAATGTCATTGTAGGCAGAGGTTGAGATTTCAGGTACGGAGAGTACAAATCCAGACCAAGATTTTGTTTCAACCAACCAGATGAGTATAAAGAGTCACAGTCACAGAGTACTCAACTGGTTGGTTGAAACAAAATCTTGGTCTGGATTTGTACTCTCTGGACTGCCTCTGATTGTTGGTTTCAGTGGAAAATCTTGATTACATATAGAATTATAAATAAATTCAACTGGTCATTCTTTTAACATCAAAAAAATTAATGACACTCTGTGAATTTTTTTTGTGAAATGTAAATATGTGAGAAACTCTGTCCACACGAGGTTTTTGTAGGCTTCACTGTATCATTTCTCGTAACACCAGGCAGACATTTGCAGTGGGGACTACCACTTTAGCAGAATAAACTATAAAGACATGGACATGTGCTTTGAATTTCACAAAGTAATCAGATGGCTGTTCCAGTGAGAAAAGGCACTGGATTCCTGATAAAATAGGTGCTTGGCTTTAACCAGGTGTAACTTAAATTTTTTTAATCCTCATTCTTGTGCTGATTGCATGTTTTAATATTTTGACTGCTTGATTGGACCTATATCTAATTATTCCAGATAACAGCACTCACTTTCTCCAATGCAGACATTGAATTCTGTTCTTGCGGTCTATTATTTTTTGTCCACCGAGCGTATCCCAATGCTCGACGTCCCATGAGAGGTGAAGTACAGCTTTTATAGCCGACCAATAGTTTTTATGTGGTTTATACATCATCTTTTGCCTCCTGCACTTTGCTCTTGGAGATATAGACTTCTGCTATTGGGACCGAAGACCTTCTGGGTCTCCTGAGCTATTCATCTACTTGAATATTAAATCCACCTCAATTTAAAACAATAAACGTTCAAACAACCACAAGATCCCCCCCCTCCTCAAAAAGCAGACACACATACAACCACGGAATGATTGGATTACCATGAGGCTGTGATTAGCATAACAGTCAGAAAGGTGGAAACTCCGTCACTCTGCCCCCACTCACTCCTGCTGACATTCCCGCCCCCCCCCCCGCCCAGGATAGATCAGAGAGAGGAATAAAGGAGATGGGGAGGCTGTAGCACACATCACCTAGAGGAGGGTCACACTGCATCTCCCTGTGTCCAGGATGAGCACAAACACTGTTTGGCAGCCTGGGAGGAACAGGCACCTCTCAGATATTAAATACTTTATTTCCTCAAACCTTAATCTTTTTTGTCTTCAAACATAATTCATAATTAATGTAATTCAGGAAATTTCATTTTAGACCTATCGGTGTTTCTGATATTGGGGAACCTTTAGTAATGTGCTAAGAACCACTTGGCTTTGCTGCTGTGCAATGCAACACATTTTACTCATATTCTTTGTTGGCAAATAGCTGTTGAGAACATTAAAGGGTGTTTTTTTTTTGGAATAATCTAATCCAACAAAATCCAGGTTCTGAGCAGGCTGCTGAGAAATTGTAAACATACTACAGAGTAAAAAGCTCTAGATTTATCCCAGATAGCATTCTGCTGCAAATAAGTGTTAAGGGTTTAACTAAGGAAAACATTTATTTTATTGAACAAAGCAATTCATAGCAGACTAACAGTATCATTAAAAGATGATTAAATATGTTGGCAGGTTATTTATACTTATAGGATTCAAGGTCACATGTTAATTATCCTGCTTATTCTGCTACTACCCAGCTTTTACATTTTCTAATACCATCCATCCATCCATCTGAACACATAAACCAGGTCAAGATCATGTAATCTTGAAGACAAATTCTTATATCCGTTGTTTCAGTTGTTTTGGGAATTTATTTTTTATGATACTGTATATCCAGTAAGTTTGTGGAAGGACATATTTTGGGATTTCAGGACATGTAGGGTGCAAAGACACACTGATTTAAATATTGTCAGTATTCGGTAACATCACAAAAGAAAGTGACCTTAGCAACTGTTTAGAATGCAAAAGTCTGTCAAGCCTCTTATAGAAACCTGAACATTTCATCTTAAGAATTTTCTTTGCCTTTTGGATGAAATATGCCAAGCCAGCAAGCTACAGCATATTGTAGCAAACTCATGATTCTCAGAACAATCGCAGCTCTCCCAGTCATCCCTTAGATGAACATCCTCGGAAGTAAAAAGGTTTTAATTCACTGCTTCCAGTGTGTTTCTCTCTGTGTTTTTATGCTGTTTTCTTTATAGACCTCTATGTTATGGTTTGCTTTCACTCTTAGTATTTTCTTCAAAAACCTTTTTTTTCTATTTTGGACAATGCCACATACCATATTTGGTCCTTTTTTTTTTTTTAAGCAATAAACTTTTCTCCACATCTAGAGTGAATGAAAATGCCATTGGAAGGGTAAAAATGTGTGCTTACAGGAATGCTGAAAGTCAACTACATGGGTATTTTTAGGGAATGTCAAATGTCAAAATATTGCTATGATTATCATTATTTTTCTGTACTTTTCTGCTTGAATTTCTCTGACCTATGGTACATACTGTAGAAATAAATGTAAGTTAATGTTATAGTTAATGTTATGAATTATGAAGTTTTCAGTGAGTTACCTGGTGAAGTATGAAGAGGAACTTTGAGATGTCCATCCATCCATCCATCCTTCCATCCATCCATCCATCCATCCATTTCGCATAAATGCTTATCTGTTACATTGTTGCTGTTAGCCTAGAACATATCCCAGTAAACACAGGGTACAAGACCAACATGTAAATGACTACTTGGGTATCATTAACACAGAACAGGCTCAACAACACTTTATTCATAACAGGCTTTTCAGA